TCCGATGATATACGTAACTAAATACGCCCTATTTAATCTTGATGTTATGTTACTAGTTATATTAGAGATAGTTAAGTTTACCGCATCAATGTAGCGGGTACAAAATGGTTCCGTAGACTAAGCAGCAAGGATTGCTGGCTAGAATATGACGCTGCCCACCAAGCCTTTAACAGTCCTCTCACGGGGACGTGAGCACAAATGTCAATAAACTGTACAATGATACTGTGTAAAGTGGTTGGACTTAGTTAGTGGATAAGCTACTTCGAAATTTTGTGATTATACTTTATGACTTACTGATAGTATAAATAAGCGTAAGACTGCCCCTCTGGTTTCATGGTGATAGTTCACTATGAGTAGACACTTCATCACCACTACCCCCACCAGCCATACTTACTCGATAAGTAAGGTCACACGGCCCCACATTTTGGAGCCGAGTTGGGTGTGTCACCCACCAGTTCTCCCCAACCCACCCTGCCCACTTACTCACCCTTCGCCCTATCCCACACCAGCTCCCCCCAGTCACGACCCATACAGCTCAAAAAAAAGATATAGCAGATGCGTACTGCTGGAGCAAGTCACTGTTTTTACAACTCTTCTGGTACCAAAGACCAGGCCTAAAAGCGCCCCTACCTTGCCTACTTCACAATGGTTAAAATTTTAACATACAATGTAAAAGGTCTAAACTCCCCGGGGAAACGCAGGCTACTACTGCAGGATCTTAAGAAAAGTGAGATAGATATAGCGTGTGTTCAGGAAACGCTGAGCTTGAGTCACTTAGCTCTTTTAAGAGCTGTTCCTGTTACGCTCTCCTGGAGGAGAGGTCTTCCCCACACGGTCCTGGAGGACAGAAGCTGATCCAGGGTGGAAAGAAGACGGCGAGACTCCAGTTAAGCTACGGCAGTTGAGGAGTCTGCGGTGGTTGTGGTGTCGGCTGCAGTGTTTGGAGTCCTCAGGAAGCGCTAGGAGCATCCATCAACGGAGGGTACTCGGTCGGAGTACAAGGAGCTCCGTTACATTGGTGGCAGCGGTGGGATGGCGTCCTAGTGCGAGGAGAAGCAGCTCGGAGACACTGGTATCGTATGAGAGGTTATTGAGGGCAACGCTAGCCACTGTACAGCGTCCCTAACTACAGCAGCATGGAGCAGGCATGGATAGAGCCCTGCGAAGAGTACCTCAACAGGATACGGCGCTACGAGGATGACGCTTACATTGAGGAGGTAAAGAGGCGGTTGGTCTGCTATGGCCCAGACCTTTCGAACGAGGTGGTCCACCAAGTAATGCGCCAGTTGAGTGCTGAGAACAGTGCGGCAATGGCCTTTGAGCGAAAACTGTGGAGGTTGAGGATATGGACACCTAGTCTCCAGCGACAGTGTAAATTCCAGGGAGCCGAAGGTGTCGTCCTTCCTCCCCAGCGGCAGTGCGAATTCCAGGGAGCCGAAGGTGTTGTCCTTCCTCCCCAGCGGCAGTGCGAATTCCAGGGAGCCGAAGGTGTCGTCCTTCCTCCCCAGCGGCAGTGCGAATTCCAGGGAGCCGAAGGTGTCGTCCTTCCTCCCCAGCAGCAGTGTGTCCTACAGGGAGCAGAGACAGTTGGTCTCTCTCTCCAGCAGCGCGACAATGTTATGGGAGTGGAGACAGGCGGTCTCCCTCTCCAGCGGCAGCCTGTGTTTCAGGGAGAGGAGCACAGCACCCTATCTCCCCAGCGGCAGCTTACCCTACCAAGGGGAGACCCCAATCTCCCAGATGGCGCAGAGGGGACCGTGGTCTCTGTGCCCGACTTACAGGGATGCTGGACAGCCTGTCCAGATCCCCAACTACCCTCACAGGGACAACAGGAGGAGGGGGTAAGTACGAATTCCCCTCCCCAGCTAACTCCTAACTTGGCCCCAGGGTTAACAGGGGAGATGTTAACCCCCACTGACCCCCACGTTCCCCTGGCTACTGAGCCGGACTATGTCCCAAGCCTCCCAGCGGAAGAGCTGGCGGCTGAGCAGAGTGCAGTCGGCCTCTGCCCTCCCTTTGTCCCTTGTCCAGAGCCTGATGTCCTACAGGCTATACCAGCAGAAGAGCTGGCATCAGGGCAGACCGCCGATGGCCTCTGCCCTACAGATCCCCTTCTCACAGGACTGGCCTGCACCCCCCTCCTCCCAGCAGAAGCGCTGGCATCAGGGCAGAGCGCCGCTGGCCTCTGCCCCTCAAGTCCCCACAGCGTGTTGCCCCATCACCCCAGAGGAATACCCAGGTGCAGTCACTGTTTGCTGTGGGTGGGCTGCTCTAATAACTGTTTGTTGTGGGTGGGCTACTCTGGCACTTGCTTATGGTCGGTGGGTGACTCGACTAACTTAGGCACTGACCGACAGAAAGTCAGGTGCCTGGTTAGTCTTCCCCCCCGAAGGGGAGATATGTGACGAAGTGCCCTTCGCCACTTGGTCCTGGAGAGGCCTACTTGCCAGCCTCCTCCCCTGTGACTATGACTCTTTGATGTATTTGGCTTTAAAGCCCCTAGTCTACCTTCAGACAGACTATTTATGTAGGCTGCTTTATTTCTCTTATGTTTTAGTCACCCTGTACCCATTATAGGTGCAGGGTGTGTGTAATGTAATTGTTTACAGTGTGTGTGTATGTACTGTGTAATGTATTGCCTTCTCTCCTGTACTGCTGAGGTTTGCTACCAACTAGGTGGGTTTGGCTATGGAGCTTGTCTAGTGCCCTCTGTTGGTAGCAACAGCAATATGCACTACCTGAATTGCAAGACTGGTTCATTTGCATATTCGGGTAGATTTGCATATTGCTAATTCTGCAGGCAGGTGAGATATTTACTGTTAAATATTGTCTCCCCCCACCCCTTTAAAAATGTGCCATTGTGTTGTGATAAGTCACTGTGTGTTTCTTGATATGGTTTGACTGTTTGTGATTTTATTGAGGTTTCACAACAATGTTATTGTGGTGACTGTATTGGCTGGTCCCAAGGGAATAAAAGTTTTGACAGTTCTTCTTGATCCCTCTAAACGTAGCCTTGTCTCGTTATAATCACACTGGGGATTGCTATGCTCTGCATGCTCCCCTGAGCTTGAATCACTTAGCTCTTTTAAGAGCTGTTCCTGTTACGCTCTCCTGGAGGAGAGGTCTTCCCCACACGGTCCTGGAGGACAGAAGCTGATCCAGGGTGGAAAGAAGACGGCGAGACTCCAGTTAAGCTACGGCAGTTGAGGAGTCTGCGGTGGTTGTGGTGTCGGCTGCAGTGTTTGGAGTCCTCAGGAAGCGCTAGGAGCATCCATCAACGGAGGGTACTCGGTCGGAGTACAAGGAGCTCCGTTACAGACTATAATGGACTGCCAAAAACAATTGGCAATTATCACTGCACAAAATAAGCAGATACCTTCACACACTCTCGCACAACAAATCCAAACTCTAACGGACAAACTTACCGAAATGCACGCAGCCAAAACGTCCTATTTCTTACTTAAACTGAAAGCGACTCATTACCACCACAGTGGGAAAGCTAATAAACAATTAGCTAATAGGCTGAGAGAGAAATTGGCGGCCGCCAAAGTAGCATACATACAGGGCCCAGACGGTACTAAACTACAAAACCCATTAGATATTACCCAGGAGTTTGCGAAATACTATTCCGAACTGTACAACCTGGGAGACAAACCCGAAATCCCCCCCATAGAAAACGACAACATAACGGAGTTTCTGTCCCACCTTCACCTCCCACGAATTAATCAATCCCACTTGGATCTATTACTCCAACCTATTACACTGCGGGAGGTGCTCCATACGATACAACACCTTCCCCCAGGCAAATCCCCAGGAGCAGACGGCCTCCCCAACCTGTACTATAAGACGTTTGCAGAGGTACTGGGTCCCAGACTAGTTAAAGTGCTCCAGGCAGCCTCAGAGAAAGGGGAGCTTCCTTCCGAAATGCTACTCGCGACCATAGTTACGCTGCCAAAGCCAGGAAAGCCCCCGGATCAATGTAAGAATTTCAGGCCAATATCCCTGCTAAATACGGATGCTAAGATTTATGCAAAAATCTTGGCCTCCAGATTGGGCAAAATACTACCCTCAATCATCCATGACGACCAAACGGGGTTTGTGATGGGGAGGCAGGGACTCGATAATACCCGGAAACTGTCCCTGCTCATGGAGCAGATGCGGAGGTCTGGCCCTTCCTACGACAGGTTCTCTTAGTGTTTGGGTTCCCACAACAGTTCATTCAACAGGTATTCGCTCTATATTGCCACCCTAGGGCCCAGGTGCTACAAGCGGGATTTAAATCAGATCCATTCAAAATCACGAATGGCACCCGACAGGGATGCCCTTTGTCACCTCTGTTGTATGTACTGGCCTTGGAGCCGCTACTAGTTGCCATAAGATCACACCCAGACATAAAAGGCATCACCTGGCAGGACCAGCACATCAAGATCAGCGCATTCGCTGACGATATCCTACTATATGTCTGTCAACCAGATAAATCCCTCCCTCACATCATGAAGCTCATTGACAAATATGGGAAACTTTCCTATTATTCCCTAAACGCAACTAAAACTCAGGCATTGGGGCTGCGCTTAGACCCACAGGTCCTAGCGCAACTACGCAAAGATTACCAATTCGAGTGGAGAAAAAATGATATAAAATACCTAGGCCTGACGTTCACTAGGAAGTCCTCTGACATGTTCCCTATCAATTATACCAGAGTCTGGACTGAATGCTTGGCCCTGTTACGGGGTTGGGGCAAACTGTTCCTTACCTGGACGGAGCGCATTGTCGCAATTAAAATGACTGTATTACCGAAACTACAATATGTGTTTAGGAACCTACCCTTGAAAGTTCCACAATATTATTTTAAAACCATACAGTCTACGCTCCTCCAGTTTATCTGGGGCAAGGGACGGGCAAGGGTCTCCAACAAACTATTGTCGGCCCCCATAGGGCATGGAGGTATGGCATTCCCGAATGTAAAACACTACTACCAGGCTGCGGTCCTAGCGCCCCTAATGAACCACCTAACTAAAGATAACCGACCACAATGGGTGACCCTAGAAAACCTAGCTATTAAACCTTTCCTAGTCGCCAACCTGCTATGGCTACCTAACAAGAGCAGACCACCTATTCCGCTGATACCTCTACAACTTCACCTAGCACTGCAAACTTGGGACTTACATAGAACGAAATTCGAAACGGCCCACCCCCTCTCAATGGCGACGCCCATCGAGGCCATCACGTACTGCATCCCCACCTTCCATGCCACCCCATGGAAAGAGAAAGGTATCTCTTTCCTGTCCCAAGCCTATGACCCAGGTGGACTGATGAGCTTCGAGCGTCTCAGTAGAACCTACAATATCCCACACACCTCACAATACTCATACATCCAACTTAAATCCTTCTTGCACAAACTCAACAAGGACAACAAAGTAGAATCTAATAAAATGGGAGACCCCTCCACCTGGGAACAAATAGGTATCACGGGTAAAATTCCTCCACTTTATAAGCCACTCTCCAATTGCTATAAACTAATTCTGCCATACCAGTCCCTACCGGGCTCCACACAGGCAAGCCAATGGGAAATGGACCTTCAGACCTCCATCACTGATAATCAGTGGAAAACTCTCTGATGGAACGAAAAAGAGGAGTGGACATTTTGATAATTGAAGATATAGAAGTTAAAATTAAAAACCAACATGTGGATGATGAAGCAAGAGTCATTATATTAATAATTGAGATTCATGCTGAAATCTATACATTAGTCAACGTGTATGCGCTGTGACGAAGTGCCCTTCACCACTTGTGCCTGGAGGGGACTACTGGCTAGCCTCCTGCCTTCCGACTATGGCCCCTGTGCTGATAGCTGTATTTTACCCTGCAGAAAGGTTTATTTGTGTATTTCTGCTGGTGTGTTCGGGACTTTCAGTATGTGAGTAGTGCTATCCCAGATAGTTATGCCATGGAGCCTATTCGTGTAACGAAAGACTATGGAAAAGACTTTGGCTCCATGGCGATTGAACTGTATGTATGTGATCTGAGCGCCATTCGGTAATAATGTGCGCTCAGATCTAAGCTATCTGGGGATATGTTGCATGTATATGTTTTATTTAGTAATTGTAACATTATGTAATTGTATGTCTTTTTGTAACCATGTGGTTAATGGAGTCTTGCCTCTGTCCTGGGAGATAATTTGATTACTTCCCGATTATCTCCAGGATAGAGGGGAGGGATTGTGATGTCACTGTGGGAGTGTTTTATTTGTATTGTCTGTGATTGGCTAATATCCAATATGTGTCCCATTGTTCCATCAGGTCCCCTAGGGGAGTGTCCAATTGCATAAATGGTGGACACTTGCATAAATACCGGGCAGGTAGCCCTCAATAAACCAGACCTACTTGCACCTTTCTTGAAGCCTTGGCTCATGCTTGGGGAAAGGGATACCTACACTCTGAGGATTGCTATAATCACTTAATCCCCAGAGTAAGCTCTTGTAAGAGCTTGATTTGTTCCTGCTATGCTCTCTGGATTTAGGAGAGGTTCACCCACTGGATCCTGGTCATGGATCCAGGGTGGGTGAGAGACGGCGAGACCCCGGCGCAGCTGCATCGCTAGAAGTGGGGTCCGCAGTGCTGATGGTGTCGGTTGGAGTGCTCTGAGTCCTCGGCAAGCGCTAGGAGCATTGATTGGCGGAGATACTAGGTCGGAGTGACAGCGGTCCGTCACATGCGCCTAATAACCCTTCAAATTGATATTTTTCAAACCTATTAGATAAAGTAGATAAGATAAAACAAGGAAAGGTACTTGTAGCGGGAGATTTTAATAGAAATCTAGATGCTAGTTTAGATAAGAAAACTCTAAAAGAAGGAGCGGTAAACAAAAATCTAATATCTCAAGCTGCACAATTTGGATTACTAGATATATGGCGTATATTCCACCCAGGAGAGAGGGATTTTACATGTTTTTCCAGAACATATTTCTCTTATTCAAGAATAGATTTATTTTTGGGAAATTAGATTTTGGCCAATAGCATTAATAAAGTGTTGATACTTGAAGTTACCTGGTCAGATCATAATGCTATAATTTTGGAATTGCTAGCAGAAAATAAAAGCGTAAAAAGAACAGCATGGCGATTAAATGATAATAGCCTCCTAAAAATACAGACTATATAACAGAAAATGAAGGAGGAGCAGTATCTCTCCCTTTAGTATGGAACACATATAAATGCGTTATATGAGGATATCTAATTAAATTGGGTACAATGAAAAAAAAAAATAATAAATCTCTTGCAGATCTGTATATAGATTTTTAAAAACTATCTAAAGAAAATAAAATCTTACCAACCAAGGAGAAAAGTGTAAAAACCATGTGGTCTGCAGCTCTGCACCCAGGGAGCTGCAGACCGAAAAGCCAGCCCACCGGACCACCAGGGAATCGATAAAAAAAAAAAAAAAGTACTTATAAGCCACTCTACACTCTGTCCCCCCCCACATCCACCTTGTCACAGCCCCCACCCTGTAACAACCCCCCACCCTCTATCAGACACACATTCAGGCACAAACGTCAGCCGTACAAAGTACCGAACTAGCCGCGAACCCCCTGTAACTTAACTCTGCTATTGGAGTTTGCGGTTCCCCGTCACCTTGACTCAATGTATTAAATTCCTTGCCAACCTGTCAGGAGAGTGCTATTTGGAGGGAAGTTACTACCAGGAATAATCACTCCCTGAGAGTCAGGCGTATCCCCCTTTCATTTGACCACAGAAGCTCCCGATCTTTGACATCCAAGACCACTTTCCCTCCTGCATTCTTGCAGGTAAAGAAGCCCACTCATTGCTTAAGTCTGCATGAAACAAGATCATGCATAGAGGGTATGTAACTCCTAACAGAATTAAAAAGTTTAAGCATACTATCCCGTCACCTGCTGGAGATTTATTAAAACACTTTGGTATGGTTTATTCTTATGGCCACAAAACAAACTTTTGTCGTTTTAGTCTCTTTCACATCAGTTTGGCCACACTCACAATTCAATTAGATTATAAAAGACAAATGGAGGAGGGTTTCTTTTAATAAAACAAAACAAAACTGTTAATCTACATAAATATCAGACTAAACTCATCACTTATCCATCTGTCATTGAGCACACTTATGTTTATTGGTCGTACTATATAGTCAGATAAAACACCCATTCTCCACATCTTTCTAAAATAAATATTAAGAATGAGCATGAATATATGTAGACTTACTCAGGAGATATACTTTACCGTTATGTTAAAACTTTTTTGCAAGTGTACTAATGTGAGCTCTAGTCGCATTGTACACATACACACACACACACGAGAATATGTTAGATGTCAAGCTTACAGTGCAAAGACTGGTTATGTGTATGTCAGTTTATTAAAACCAGGTTGATTGTGATTACAGGCCCCACAAGACAGATTCCCGATAAAATAGTCAAATAAAAAATAAATATTTATTATATATAGATTACCTGCTGCAGATGAGCAGTAAAAGTTTTGCCCATCCTCTCTAAATCACATCAAACACAGATATATGCACAGGAAAGTAACATGTTTTATGTTGCATACTTAAAAACCAAAGGAAACTAAAAAAAAAAAAATTTTTTTTAAAGAATTAATTGGCAACATGGGAATTGTTAAGAGTACAAAAAAGGAAAGTCCCATTAGCAAAGGAATTCAAATTATGCCAGTAGAAGTTAAGGTATGGGGAAAGCACAGGGAGTCTGAGATTTCCCATCCACAGGACATAGGTGTACAGACAGTCTCTTTCCCTTCAGGCTGCTGGAATCCTCTCTTCAATAGCTGTACAGCTGCCCTGTGAGAGACAAAACAAAAAACAAAATCAGCTATACTTCATAAGAGACATTCCACAGCCCAAAATACAAAACGGGTAACTTATAAATGTGCCAAGTTCTATTGAAAACTACACTAAGACAATTGAAAAAGTTGGGGTGCTTAAGGAAGTGTCCCTTTAACATGTGCTTTGACTGTACGGCATGACGTCCGTTTTTTTTTTTGTTTTTTTTAATTCTTTATTTCAGAGACGGCCCCATACAAAGTATTGCCAAGTGTTTCTGAGCATCTGTCTCATGTGTTAACATTACATCAAATACTTGGAATTATGATTGAGACCCAGAAGTAGAAAAGGGTAGAGGGAAGAAAAATTAGGCAAATAAGGAGTGGGGGAAATGCCACTGTGCTGAGTCCAACCCTAAACTACTGGAAACTTCATGCATTATGTTGTGGAGACAAAGTCTCACCAGGGACTTTTTCAACTTTTTAACTCCATTCATTGCAGATTCAACATAGCATTAAATGGGTGGTTCAGGATTTTAATGCATTAAATTCTATTCGTATTCTTGGCTTCTAGCACCATACTATTTTCTACACGACAATGTAACAAATTGCTATTTTTCTTTTTTATGTAATCATAAAGTAAAGTAGTCTTACCAGGCCCCCCTTGGCATGGCATAGTGGATCCGGGTTTGCTGAAAGCCATTGAAAGTGGAAGATGCCGCCACTGTATAGGCTCCCATGTTATTAAATAAAAGCCAATCACCAACATACAGTTCAGGCAGGTTGAGATGTTCAGCGATCTTATCCAAACCATCACAGGTTGGTCCCCAAAGGCTACTGCTGTAGATGGGCTGATCTGGGGAAGGCTTCTGTGAAAAGAACACAAAAAGTATGGGGATCAGCAACAGTATGTTGCTATGAAACAAACACAATGCAGAACAAGAATATGAAAGAGTACTAGTTCTAATTTTAACTGAACAATTATCTAGTCATTTGTACCATATTTTGGCATGAAATATTATGTAGCATACCAGTATTTACTTTACAGGACTGTAGCCATCTTTGCAGACAAGTTTATAATGTAAGTTACAGGCAAACTTCACAGGCAGTCTGCTGTACACAAGATGGATCACAGTATAGTCAGTCTGCCAATAGGTCACAGTTGCCTATCCATTAAGCACAAAAGAAGCTGAATGAAAACTATACCTTATGAAGTATGGGTTTCGGATGTGCATGGTCAAAGAAGATGCAATTAAAGGATCCATAGACTCCATCATTAACATAATACATTATGGTTTTGTTGAGGTCAATTTCTTCATCTAAAAAGGAAAATAAAAAAAAATCATAAAAAGAATTGAAGTTGTACACTATATACAACTTGGAAAAGATCATTTAGATGCTCTCATTATACAAGAACAAACATACCATCTGATCCAGATGTTTCCATCTGCACTTCTTTCTTGGCAATGATGTTAACAGCCAGGGAGAATGCAGATGCCACATAGTACCTCCCTGGCTCAGCAATTATGTCCACGGCAGAGCTTTCTGGGAAATACAGGTCCAATGCTGGATTTATTAAATCTGCAATCTAAGTAAAGTGAGAAGTTATTAGTAGTCTACAATATGCCATCAAAACATGCTACAGTGTCTTATCTCAGACTAGAAGTAACTTACCTCTTGAAATCTGATTTTAGAGTCCTCTGTACCAGGAAAACCCCCTCCAATATCAAGTATGCTCATTTTGTGCCCAAATTCAGATGCCATTTCAAAGACCAAGCGGGCATCTGCAATGGACTGTGCATATGCCTGAGGATCACTGCATCCAGTACCCACATGAAAACTGTAAAAAAAATAAATAAATAAAAAATGGAAGATTAAGATAAGACCACAACCAGACACATATTAGGAATTTTAAATGTAAGACAAACATATATTAACCAATAGAAAATTACATGTTGTGTTTAAAGATAAAGGTTTATTCACTAAACGTGAATTTAAGGAATTGCACATTTGGAGTCAAAATAGCCAACTTGATGATGTTATCCAATTTAGCTATTTTGACTTAAAATGTGTACTACCTTGGTCCATTCTAGGCTCACTAAATAAAGCCCTTTGTCTTTCACCTGAAACTCAACACTAGTTTATGATAGCTGCCCTTTGTATGACTGAAGACTGCAGTGCCTTATGTGGAAAAGACCAGGCTCTTCAGCATGATTAGACAAACTGTTTACTATAATTTCAGAACAGTATGGAGGCTAAGGTCTACACACCAAAACAATTGTTAAGAAGTGTAAGCTTTAAACCATCATGCCAATGATTGAGCATTAGCAGAGTTTTTTGTTTTGGTTTAAAAACTTTCAATTCCCTAATCAGAGCTTCCAGTTTAGTGCATAAAACTTCCATCATGCAAATTGTAAGGAAACATGTTTTATATGGTTAGAAGACTACTGAGCTATTATTGTTCGTTAGAAAAGGTTAGTTAGAAAACACACAATCATTTGCAAAGAATAACTGAGCATAGAAGTTTGTTTAACAGCCTAAGATTGTATTTGAGTCTTATATTCTGGTACCAACTATATTCAAGCTTAATATTTTGTGATAATCTTTACATATTGCTTCTGCACAGTAGTAGTTTCTTTGAGGAAGTAAAATCACCATATAAATACACAATTCTGGTATGAAAATACAGCTTGTTTATATATCTTAAATTGATTTGAGGATGCCATTAATTTCATGGAAGTAATTGTATTATACAATGCATATAACACTCACCTTACACCAATGACCTCTACATTGAGATTTTTAGCCATTTCTAGGAGGTGTCTGCAAGCTTTTAAAGGTGCCCCAAACTTAACACTCAGACGGCCAGAAGACTTTGAGTCATCTGTGGCTATGCGCAGAACCATTCTGTAGGTAAATAAATTACTGTTAGTTTACCTAATTACTGGAAATTTAGTAACATTAAAGCCACATGCATTTTCAAAGGTATGACCAAATAAATGCATACTTAGCATTCGGGTGGTTCCTTGAAATTTTGGACAGCTCCACTTCATTATCAAAGGTCATCTTATTGACCCCACTCTTGGCTGCATACTTTATCTGGGAGATTTGCTTGCAAGGGTTTGCATAAATGATATGTTCCGACTTCACTCCAATTCCCTGGACTAGTTCAATCTCTGTCTGCAATCAAGAGGCAAGGCTACTTTTATTTAGGCAACAAAAATCCACATGTACACTACATTTTTTAAACATGCTAAGGATTTAAACTTTGCAAACTGTCATTGTAAACAATGCATCGTTACCTTGCTGGCACAATCAAAACCAGCTCCCATCTCAGCAAGTATCTGCACCACACCTCTGCTGCTGTTACACTTCACGGCATAGAACGGCTTCACACGTGGCAATGCTTTCAGAAAGCGCAAGTGTTTCTTCACCACATCTCCCAGGTCAGCAACAAAAAACGCATCTCTATCATCCTAAGGGAAAACACAGCACAGTAAGCATACAAGACAAATAAATTAGGTTCTGAACCCTATCACAGGCAAGAAAGTGCAAAGTGTACTTACAGTCTGAGAGACATCGTTAATAATTTCCTCCATCAGGTCCCTGGCAACAAAGCCTTCCTCCACCATGGTAAACTCAGACTCCTGGATATACATTGTTATTGCAATGATTTTATGGGCTCCTGCTAAGGGTACCTCAGATTAAAGTTTTTAAGTATGCAACAAGCTGTAAGGAAGGAGGGGGAAAACAAAGTCACTATATAACACAGGTAAATTACCATTCAATTGTTATACTCAGTTTCCCCAAAATAAGAACCAGATTTATGATGGCAAAAATGAAATATCTCCATAGTCAAACATGGCGTTCTGAGCATTTAGTTTCCCTATAAATCTTTACTAACATTAGCATTAGAAACTGGGCAGCACAGACCCATATCCAGCCTCCTCTCCAGGAGTAGGGAGCAAGTGCCAGGCTAACAACTTATCCCAGGGATCCACGGTGCTAGAGGACATGCCAGGCAAATAAGTGTGCTGTCCATGGTACTGCCTCCTGCTTCCCATCACTCTCACCCCCCCATGTTTCCCCTGGCAGTCAGGGTGCCCCCCCTCCCGCCCAGGTGCCGCACGGTGATGTGACCTGTGCGGTGCCCGCAGTGTGTGGAGCGGAGCCAGGCTGGCACAGAGCTTACCTGCGGTCAGAGCAGCCAGGGAGGCTCTGCGGTAAACTCGGAGAATTTGCAGCACCCCGAGCGGGTTAGGTGGCCGCCGCTGCTGGCGCCTCTGGATTCCTGTGGGGGTAAAAGAGAGAATTAGAACGGGTACCGGGGAGGGCGAGATGGCCTGCCGTGACCGCGGCCCATGGCTGGCACTCACCTTAAAAAGCATTTACAAATCCGCTGCCCATGGGTCTGAATGAAGCGCTCGCCGTCCGTCCTGCAGCAGCCTCGCTCCGCGAATACCGCCACCACTGGCTGCGACATGCCTTATACAGCCACAGCCAGACCCCGCCCATCAGCCGTGACGTCAGACTGTTTCCAGACAACGTAGTAACCCTCTAGGCAAGACTGTTTACCGTCTGGCCACGCCCACCGGGCTGGGCTGCACAGCACATGACTGCATGGGCTCTCAGTTTTTTCCGGAAACCCATGTTATCCAGAGCTACTCCACCCTGAATGCAGAATAAAATCATTTCTAGTTTTAAATGGAACACATCAGTTTTCTGGAATTTACAATAGTGGAAACCACCTATACCCTGGGTAATCCTCTCTTCACTTGATGCCCCCTTTGAGCTGTACACTGAGAGTATAGTGAATATTTATTGATAGGTTATTTATTAAAGTGAGAATTCCTGGGAATACAAAACGAATTCAAAGAGAATTTCCAGTTTAAGCCAGGAAACTTCTATAGTCAATTTTCCGTTTGACTATTTTGGACTTAAAATGTAATATCACTATCCTGACCATTCTGCTTTACCCTGTTAGCAACTGGTCTCCCAATCCAGTTGGGTCCAGACATGGTCAGAGAACACATTGCTTTGGAGGAGTTGAAATAAACACTGGTTCACGCCCTGAAAAGTGGTGCAAAATTGTAACAATGGAGGAATTACTTATAGAATGTGCGTGCTGATTCCACTGGTTTCCACTTTGCAGAACATTAAACACTTTTGTAAATATCCGATATTTCTGTTTCTCCTCTTCCATTATATTTAATGACAATAAAAGCAGAATATAATAATGATTGATAGAGAGTAAAGATGGAGCCGCACAGTTCCATGATTGAAGGGACACTGTGAGCACTATAACCATTCCTTCTCAGTGGAGAGGTCTGGCTGCAGAAAGCCCAATTAACCAAACTCATTGGGCTGATCAGTATGAAATAATTCCTACAGTACTCTTTTTTTTTTTTCCAGGTAGAACTGGGACTGGGGATAGTTGAAAAGACAAAGAAGAAACTTGAAGGAACACTCTGGGCACCATTACAACTTCATCAAAATGTTGTTATGGTACCATGAAGTCCCTGGCGCTGGCTCACCTTCCATGTGTAAACGAGCAGTATTTGATATAAACAAACTTACACCTGAACAGAATTTAATCCTTCATAGTAATTTCAATTCCTGAGCTGTTTCATTGTAACATTCATTACACTTATAAATCCACTTTGGAATAATATAGTTGATCATATTTTGATTGCAGCCGCCCGTGTCCATTTGCACAAGTACAACAATCTTTACAAAGTTACAAATAGTCAACAAAATTTATTTGACTAATGGGAATTTTGATTTGTGTGCAACACAAGCCAAGCATGCTTACAAAAGCAAAAATATGGGATCATTTTATCCAGCTATTTACAAGGTCAACACAAAGCTCTCTCATGGGAAATTGCCACCCTTCTGTGAATGAATTAAATACAAGGTCATTTACTGAGAGCAGCTGAAAAATAAAATATTTTTGGGAAGTGAGATGTGTTTAGTTGAATTTATCTATAAGTATGGCAACTGTTAAAAATATGTTTATTTTTCTGTATACATTATTATTATTATCAACAGAGCTTAACGCACATGTAATACAATAACCTAGATTTGAAAATTAAATGTAACAAGAGGACTTTCAGTGTATTACTTTAATAGTCATTCACAGGAAAGCAGTTATTGTTTCAATTTGTCCACTTTTCTGCAAATCTGAGGACTCTAGAGAGAAAAGAGATACACTTAATGGAATTCTGCCCTTTTAGTTTGTTTAATCAGTTATAATATTACCTGGGCTATTCAAGGAATTGTAAAAATCCCCAACTCCTTATATTATTCTTGCAGGGTAGGCACCTAACGATATATATACCTGCCTACCTCAAAATCCTCATAGATTGTAAGCTTCTTTGATTCTATCTTTGTAAAGTGCAGCCCAATGAGTTGGCACTCTATAAATGCTTTGAGGTTAGAGGGGGAGATCCGCATTATCAATGTGATTGAGGGGGTTCATTTTTGCACACTTTAGAGAGCCATGTGTTTTGTAAAATTACTCCTGAATATTTTAACACAAAAGCAGACAGAAGCACCTACATGTCCCCCCACCACCCAAAAAAATTTTTTTTAAAAAAATTGCAACAATAATGAGGTGTATTCGTTTAGTTGCTCAGAGCAGCCCTTTCAATTGTCAGATAAGACTGCTACAGTTTCTGGTGGACAAAAAAGCTGTAAAAAAACACTTATTCACACTGGATATCCCTCACTATTTGAGCTCTTAGACTGAGTCAGTACTTCAGACAAGTTTCAGATCATGGTGGTACTTTTTGCACATTTGCAGTTATTTACAATGTTCATTCACATCATATTAGTAAAAAAAAAAAAAAAAGATCAAACTTCTGTCATTATTTCTGGTCTGTGGAAAGTTATGTTAAGTCCTAAGGATGTTTTGTTGACTTGCAACAGATACACTGGTTTCATTGTGACATCCTCAAAACAAACTGGCTGTAGCTAGTTACATTGATCCAGGTTTGTGTCAATACAATGCTTAGACAATAGCATTTCCTTTTGAAATCCAACCCTCTAATTTTACAGAGCCACACAAAGTGCTAACGACTAAAGAATCAAGTTGCTGTAGGTTCTTTCTGGTATTAACTGACTCCACAACAAAGAGTCACATTAGAAACTGTGAGGTGACTCACAGGGCTAGTAAACATGTTAAACAGAACGGTAAACTCACAAAAGTCATGGAAACAGTGCCAAAACAATTCTCATTTAATCAAATAAAGCACAAATAGACATCTTGTCAATTAGTGATGTTATCATTAACCTTTCATACCTATGCAGGATGTTGGTTAAGTGTTATCAATGGGGAAATCATAGTTTTATTTAATCAATGTTCAATTGTAATTATAATGTTACCCTTCTCATAGACAATCCTTTCCAGTTGTTTATCTTGCAAAGAGTTTGAACCCATTCCAACACATGCCAATAAATTATAACATTGGTATATAGATGGTGGAACTGCACTCAACCCTTCGCTTTGGAATCTCAGGGTGCTGCTGGATCAGTCCCAGTACCAAAGAGACCATGTATAAAGTATAATTCAGGATTATTCTAACTTTTAGTGACCGAATAATCTAAATTTTATTAAAGACAGGAGGCGAATATTTGCTTTTCTTTCTTTACTGTAACTCCCAGCAGCAAAGAAACAGTTAACAATCAGTGTAAAAAAGTTTAACCAATCAGCATGCATCACAGTAATATACACTGTCATCAGGCTCCTCCCAATTCCTCTGTCTTGATGTAGCCGAACAGTCGTAGAGTCAACCATGTAAACGTAGAACCATTAGAACGATGAGTATGCAACGATGTAAGCATCCGATAGGATGAAACAGTGCTCAACCCGCGGGGGAGACTTGAAACAGAGATGACGAGCGATCTTCACACTAGGAGGAAAGAGAAACATTGTGAACGTATGGTCTCTTGGGCAAGAGAAAATCAAATTAAATGCCATTAAACAAACGTCCAATTTAAGTGCAAGCTTTAACATATAATAACTAACTGTATGGTGTCTTGGGTAAGTGAGACCCAAATGAAAAATGCAATGAAACTAACGTTCAACTTGAATGCAAATTTTAACATAATAATTAACTGACGAGTAAAGGCCAGAAAAGAAGACAAGTCGAAAGGAGGCTAGCCACTTAGAGATGGAAGTGCTAAGAGATACTTACCTAATAGGGTGGGTAAAGGTATTCCAGGGTGTGAATATATTTGCCTCCTGTCTTTAATAAAATTTAGATTATTCGGTCACTAAAAGTTAGCATAATCCTGAATTTTATAGCAAGACAGGAGGCTTCATATTTGATATTTTAACGCGTAGATGGGATGGACAAAAACGTGTGGAGAATGTCTACAATAAAAGGTACGGAAAGTGGATTCTCTAGACCAATCGGCAGAAGACAAAATCTCCGCCAGGGAACCTCCAGCCATGAACACAAAGGAAGGCGGGCGCACATCTAACAGAGTGAGCCCGGAAAGACGCATCAATGCCAGCCAGAGCTAGTAGCCATTTAATCCACCGAGCAATAGTAGGGCTCAAGACTGGTTTGTGTGGTCGCACATAAGTCACAAGGAGGGGCCCAGTAGGTGGTCTAAGAGGGGTAGTGCGAGAGATATAGTGTCTTACGCAACGGGCTACGCAGAGAAGTGGTTTCTCTGTAAAGTAGGGGTAGCTCACTGTAGATGAATTGGTCTTTGTGCGTCTAGTGATGTGAAAGTGCACCCCTTCCGGTGTGAAATCGAGGGCATGAAAGTCAAAAGCCCTGATGTCGGAGACTCTTTGGAAGGAGACCAAGCAAAGGAGGAGAGCTAATTTGGCTGACAATTGGCGTAGGGACAGCACCTCGTTGTCTGGCCAAGCTTCTAAGAACGTGAGCATGAGAGCTACGTCCCAGAATTGATTATATTTGGGAGCCGGAGGTCTAGCAATGCGGATGCCCCGCAAGAGTCTACACACAGAAGGGTGTTTGCCTACTGAAGAACTTTCAATAGGAACGTACGCTGCGGAAATAGCAGATCGAAACACGTTAATAGTCCGGTAGTATTTACCCTGATCGAACAGACACAACAGGAAATTGATAATATTAATTATAGATGTTGAAAAGGGATCAAAGTTCCTTTCCAAACACTAGCAACTCCAATGATGCCATGCGGAGATGTAAGAGCGTCTGGTTCCTGGGGCCCATGAATCCCAAAGGAGTCCTTGAGCAGTAGTTGAAAGGCCTGAGACATTCCAAGATCCCCTGAAACGGTCCAAGCCACTAGTCGGAAATGATCCTGGATTGCCAACGGGTGAAAGTTGCCTGCCGGGTCCCTGAGGAGGTTGCAGTTGGGTAGAAGCAGGGGAAAATCCACTGACATTTCCAGAAGGCAAGGGTACCATGGTTGGGCCGGCCGTAGGGGGGGTTACCAGAGTTATCTTGACACCTTGAGTTTTGAGGTATTGTAGTGTGCGCGGGATCATGGAGAATGGAGGGAACGCATATGTTCCGGACATCGGCCAGGTCTGTAAGAAGGCATCGACTGCAAGGCACGCTGGGTCTGGCAACCAGCTGAAAAAAGCGTC